GGCGCCATCTTTGGGCCCCCGCAGTAGAGCATCTGAAACGGCCGTTTCGAAACGGCCAACCGGACGTGCTCGCCCAGTACCACCACACGTAGTACACGCCAAGTGCGGGAGCACTTAGCGTGTAATGCCGAGCGTGTAATGCCGATTCCTAAGCACACGCTAAGAATAGGACCGCGACCGGAAGGTCCCAGTGGCGCAGTCCGCATGGCGGCGCCGCCCTATTTTGGCACGCGCCCACACGGCGTTTCCCCCTTATTTCGGCACATCTCTCATACGTGTTGTGGCCCCATAAAGGGGGCTCGACATCAGGCACCAGTCGCAGCGCCCGCATGACGGGCCCGCCCCATTTTGGCATACTCTTCACGCGCTTCGTGGCCGCATAAATAGATCCAGCGAAGGCGATACGATCAACGACGGTTTTCACAACTGCATACGGTTGGGTCCTTCGCCAGGCTAATTCTGATCCTCCTCCTCCTCCTCCTCCTCCTCCTCCTCCTCCTCCTCCTCCTCCTCCTCCTCCCTCCTCCTCCTCCTCCTCCTCCTCCTCCTCCTCCTCCTCATGATCCTTCCTCCCACTCCTCCTCCTCCTCCGCCTCCCGCCACCTCCGACGACAGCGCTGCCGCCGACGACGCCGGCACCCCAGACCTCCGATCTTCCCAAAGGCGTGTGTTCCGACGGCCCAAGGGCCATGCGAGGGCCACCCGAAGCCGAAAGCGGCCGAAAGCCATCCCGCCCAGGTCACCCGGCCTCGCGCAAGCGCGCCCCGCGGAGGCGCGACGCGCGGTCGCCTCTTCGCGCCCTGGCGCCGCCGCCCTGGAGGAGGGGCCCACTCCTAACCCAAGCCAGGGCGCGCGAAGCGCGATTGCACGTCGCTCGGAAGGAGCGGGTAGAAGCACGAAGTAGGCAGGCGGATGAAGTGTTGGGCCCAGGCCCTCCCGGAGAATGGCACGGCACAGCAGAAGCACGTCGACTCCTGAGGCAGGGAGGCGCCGGAAACAGACTGGGGCTCTGGGCGGCCGAGAACTCCCACCTCCCACGCGTCGATGTGTACCTTCGCGCCCCCCCGGGGGGGGGGGGACCCTGGCTTCACGACGCGAGCACGCCTCGGGCCGCCGCCGACGCCGCCGGCGCCGACGACCTCCGAACTCCCGACCACCGCGAGCCGCCTGCGGCCTCGCCCCAGTCCACGCCCTCCTCGGCCTCCTCGTCGGCCGGCAGGCCGGCCTGCCGAGGGCACGCTGGCGGGAGGGTGGGCGCGGGGAGCGGCGAGGGGCCAGGGGGAAGGAGGAGGGAGGAGAAGGAGAAACGAGGGGGAGAAGGAGGGAGGGAGGGAGGGAGGAGGGAGGGAGAGGAGGGGGGGAAGGAGGGGGGAAAGGAGGGGGGGGAGGGGGGCAGGGAGCAAGGGAGGGGAAGGAGGGGGGAAAGGAGGGGAAGGAGGGGGAGGAGGGGAAGGAGGGGAAGGAGGGGAAGGAGGGGAAGGAGGGGAAGGAGGGGGGGAGGGGCAGGAGGGGGGGGAAGTAGGAGGGGCAGGAGGAGGAGGAGGGAGGGAGGCGAAGGGAGGAAGAACGCGCCCACGCGGCAGTCCCCAGCCCACCCTCGACTTGGCACCCCAGGGATCTCGGATCAGCGGCCGCCGCCCCCTCGGCACGGTGGATGGGAGGGAGCCGAAGGGGGGGAAGGGGGGAGGCGAGGGGGGGTGGAGGGGGTCCCTGCTGTGGACATCCAGGCGGCTTCCTGTACGAATCACTTGGAAGGTGCGTCGTCATGCGGCCCGAACGCTTTTCGAAGGAATCCCATCACTTTCAGACCCCGGGGTCCTGGGATGTTGGGAGGAGGGGAAGAGGGGGACCAGAGCAAACCTAGGTGCAGCAAATATGCTTGAATGCTCCCTCCCGTCCCGAGTACCCCCCCCCCCCTCCCCAAGCAGGCCCTGCAACCGCTCCCTCTTCCATGCGCAAGGCGCCTCGCACCTCATGAGACGAGCGCCCCATGCCGTGTGCCAGCAATTCGGGCGGGAGCCCCGTGCTAAAGACACGGCCGTCCACCATTCGATTTACATAGAGTTGGCGTCCCACAGAGAGCGTACAGCTTTCCTCCTCCTCCCCCTCCTCCTCTTCCTCCTCCTCCTCGTGCTCCTCCTCGTCCTCCTCGGGCACGACCACGATTACTGATATTACTACTACTACTACTACTACTACTACTACTACTACTACTACTACTACTACTACGACTACTACGACTACTACTACTACTACTACTACTACTACTACTGCTACTTACTACTACTACTACT